GCGCATGTAAGCCATGCACAAGAGAGAAACCTTCTAATTGGGCTTTATAACTCAAACGGAAACAACGGTCAAGATTAAAAAAAAGTGTGTAAGAAGCTACAACAAATGGTGCGTGTTATCATATTTCATATCCTTTACAAGCATTTATAAATATTATAATATCTAGTGCAGCGTACACATGTCTCAATCGATGATAGACCTGACAATTTCTTGCAGGACTCGTTAACCTGACACGAAAATAACAATTTTTTGATCAATGGAATATACCCTACACTAAAGGGTGGGGAACAAATTATTTTCGAATTCAGCATTTACAGTATTCGAACCTTAGACCTCTCACTTACAAGTAAAGAAGAATATCACTAGATCATAGTATTAAGCGAATAAAAACAATAGACCAGTATAGGAATTCCCCAAACTGTTTCCAAGATGCACAATGACAGGTTTATGGGAGGCGTTAAGATCACATAGAAGAATCATTAATAGCATAAACGAATAATCATAGTCATAGTTCATGTAGATTTACAACAAAGTAACAAAACGTGCACATCAACTTAATCTCTCTTTTGACAGATTAGGAAGAACATAACCAACAAGAAGAGCAAAAACTAACTAGCTCAGTGTTGGAATTAATGCACTAACCTAAATATTAAGACTCTAGACTTTCCCGAGAACAATTATTCCAGAGTTATTGTATTAGAGTTCCTAGCCAGTTGTCTAGGAAGAACTCTCTAGTACTTTGTATTATCTTTAGATAGCCTTTGGCATATCATTTTGTATTAAGAGAGTTGCAATAAGAAGTAATACAAGAGCTATGTTGTAGCAACTCAGATTTCCCATAAATTTGTTAAGCATTACCATCCCTCTACACTTCCTACAAATTGGTACCAGAGCCTAGTTCGTTCATATCTGGACGTTCAAAACATCTCTAGCAGATGGCTTATGGTGGGAAAAAAGGTTTATCAGTTTCTTACTCTATTCTTTCAATTTTTAGAGGAGAGAATTATGATTTTTGGAAGATGAAGATGAGGACTTTGCTTCGGTCAAGACTCTGGAGCATAGTTGAAACAGGACTTGAAGAACCAGTTGCTGACGCCAAAGTTCCAGTTGCACAGAGAGAAAAGTTTGAAGCAGATGTAATGAAAGATGCCAAGGCTCTCTCAAAAATTCAAAACGGAGTCAATGGCAACATTTTTCCAAGAATCACGAGAGCCCAAAACAGCAAAAGAAGCTTGGGAGATATTAGAAAATGAGTTCCAAGGTGACAGCAAGGTAAAAACCATCAAGCTTCAGACGTTGCGTAGGGAGTTCCACAATTTGAAGGTGAAGGAATCAGAATGCATCCAAGACTACTTTTCCAAAGTTGTTGGTGAATCAAATTAGAACACTTGGAGAAGAGATGTCTGACCAGTAGGTTGTTGAGAAGATCTTGATTAGCTTGCCAGAAAAATACAATTCGATTGTTTTGGCCATTGAAGAGTCGAAGGACCTTGCCACTTTATCACTAGAGCAATTGATGGGTTCTTTAAGGTCTCATGAGCAAAGAAGGTTGAGACAAAATAATGAGCAATCTGTTGAAAGTGCTTTCCAATCAAAGCACACATTCAAATCCAAGAAGTTCTTCAAGAAAGACAATGCTCGAGATGACCAGCAAGGTGGGGAACAAAAAAGATGGAAGAAAGGTGAGTCTAGCAAAAGAAATGATGCCAAAAGAACTAAAGGTAATACGCCTTTTTGCAAGATTTGTAACAAAAATAACCATGACACAGCTGAGTGTTTTAACCGCAGGAAGCCAAAGTGTCATTATTGCAACAAATTTGGGCATGTTGAAAAGGAATGCAGATTCAAGAATTCTAATCAAGCAAATTTTGCGAAGAAGAATGATGCAAAATAAGGGATTTTATTTTATGCTAGTCAATCAAAATTTGGAGAAGGAAATAATGTTTGGTAAGTGGACAGCAGCTGCAGCAATCATATGACATCAAATGAAAAATTATTTATTGATCTGGACACTTCTATTACTCCCAGCATAAAGATGGGAGATGATTATTATCACCAAGCGTTGGGGAAAGACATTGTTCCTGTCCAAACAAAAAAGGGAGTAAAATATATTCGTGATGTTTTGCTTATTCCAAACATAGCTCATAATTTATTAAGTGTTGGGCAGCTTATGCAAAATGGCTACAAAGTTATTTTCGAAGATGAGGACTGCACTATTCAAGACAAGAAGGATATTGACCAGCTCGTTGCATCGGTTCCAGTGGAGACAAATCAAACTTTTCCTCTTTCAATGCGCTGTGGAAATGAAGTTTCTTTGAAGGTTGATGTTGTGCAAGACTATTGGTTGTGGCACAAGAGGTTCTGTCATTTAAATTTCCAAGGGCTAAAGCTTTTCCAAAAGAAAAGCATGGTAAAAGAGTTGCTAGAAATTGAAGCAATAACTAATGCTTGTTAAGGGTGCGTCATGGGCAAGCAGCACCGTAATTCATTCCCAAGACAAAGCACGTAGAGAGCAAAGGCACCGCTGGAACTTGTGCATACCAATATTTGTGACAAAATGCCAACTCCTTCCTTAAGCCAACACATGTACTTTCTCGTGTTCATTGATGATTATTCGAGGATGACATGGGTTTATTTTTTTGAAGGATAAATCATAAACTTTCACTGTCTTCAAACAATTCAAAGCTTTAGTAGAAAAGCAAAGTGGTTGCAGCATCAAAATCATTCGAAATGGTAGAGGAGGCGAATATACCTCTCATGAATTTGAAGATTACTGCAAAGATGAAGGCATTTGGAAGCAATTGACAGCAGGGTATGGTCCCCAACAAAATGGCATTGCCGAAAGAAAAAACTGAACAATCGTGGAGATGGCTAGATCCATGATTAATGAGAAAGGGCTACCAAAAAGTTTTTGGGCAGAAGCTTTGTATACAGCAATATACATTCTTAATAGATGTCTAACCAAAGTTGTAAAGAACAAAACTCCATTTGAAGCTTGGAGCGGATTCAAACCTTCGGTGAGTCATTTCAAAATTTTTGGCTGCATTTGTTATGCTCATATTCCTACTGAAAAGAGAACAAAGCTTGATAAAAAATAAAAAATAAAATTAAAAAAAAAGCCAAAAATGTATCTTTCTTGGCTATTGTTCCAGCACAAAAGGTTATAGGCCTTATAATGTTGAAACTAAGAAATTAATTGTGAGTTGGAGATGTGATTTTTAATGAAAGGGCTAGCTGGGTTTGGAATGAAAATAAAGTGCAAGAGATGTCATATGCAATTGTGCAAGAAGAAGGTGAAATTCCAAGAGAGCAGCAACAAGAAGAAGTCACGCGTCAGACTCTAGTAGTTGTCGGAAGAAGAAGTTCAAATGATGATGGAAGTAGTTCGAATGCAAAACCTGTTTCTCTGAACTACTCTTCATCAGAAAGTCCTCCATTAAGAACTCAGAGTTTGCGAGAAGTGTACGAGACTTGCAATTTCGTTGGTGTAGAGCTGGAAAGCTTTGAAGAGGTACAAAATCAAGAAATATGGGTGAAAGCCATGAAGGAGGAGATGAGAATGATCGAGAAAAATCAAACATGGGAGCTGGTTGATTATCCACAAGATAGAGATGTCATAGATGTGAAGTGGATTTTCAAGATGAAATTCAATCAAGATGGCAACATTCAAAAGCACAAAGCTAGCCTCGTGGCAAGAGGCTTTACTCAAAAGCCAAATATTGATTTTCCGAGACCTTTGCTCCAGTTGCACAGTTAGAAACTATTAGAACTTTGATTGCTCTTGCTGCTCAAAAGAATTGGTTGATTTATCAACTTGATGTGAAGTCTGCATTTTTGAATGGAGTGTTGGAAGAAGAAGTTTACGTTAAACAACCCCCAGGTTTCGTGCTTGAAGCAAGAGAAGACAAAGTTTACAAGCTAAAAAAGGCCTTTTACGGGTTAAATCAAGCACCTTGAACGTGGTATGCTGAAATTGATAAGTATTTTGCCAAGCGTGGTTTCGAAAAGAGCCAAAATGAGCCTACACTCTATGTTTTGAAAAGAGGAGCTTCCATTCTCATTGTTTCCTTATATGTGGATGACTTAGTCTTCACTAGAAATGATCAAAGTTTGTTACAGCAGTTCAAGAAAGATATGATGAGCACTTATGAGATGAGTGATCTGGGTTTGCTTCATTATTTCTTGGGAATTGAAGTTTCTCAAACCAAAAATGGGATATTTATTTTTAAAAGAAATATGCTGAAAATCAGCTCAAGAAGTTCAATTTGTCTAGCTGAAAAACAATGGCTACTTCTTTGATGCCAAATGAAAAGATGAAGAAATGTGATGGTGCAAAGAAAGCAGATGCCACAAAGTATCAAAGTTTGATCGGTCGTCTTTTATATCTCACTGCCACCAGGCCGGATATCATGTTTGCTTCAAGTATGCTTTCAAGATACATGGAGGAACCAAGTCAGCTTCAATTTGGTGCCGGAAAAAGGGTGTTAAGATATGTGCATGGCACGCTTGACTATGGAATTATGTACAAGGTTGAAGCATGAAGTTCAAGGCTTATCGGGTACACTGATATTGATTGGGCTAGATGTCTTGATGATATGAAAAGTACGTCGGCCTATGTTTTCTCTCTTGGCTCAAGGATATGTTCTTGGCGTACGAAGAAACAAAGTGTGGTGACACAATCATCTGCCGAAGCAGAGTATGTGGCAGCAGCAAAAGCAACATCTCAAGCCGTATGGCTTCGAAGAATTCTTGAAGATATTGGAGAAAAGCAAGAATGAGGCACTGTATTGTATTGTGACAACAAGTCAGCCATTGCAATTGGCAAAAATTCATGATCATACCAAGCACATTGCAATCAAATATCATTTTGTCAGAGAAGCTGTTGAGAAGAAAGAAATTTAGCTTGAATATTGCCGAACGGATGAGCAGCTAGCGGACTTACTCACCAAGGCACTTCCGAAAGAAAAGTTTTGCTACCTCAGAGAGCTCATTGGAGTTGTGAAGAAAGTGCATTAAGGGGGAGTGTTGGAATTAATGCACTACCCTAAATGTTAAGACTCTAGACTTTCCCGACAATTATTCCAGAGTTAATTGTATCAGAGTTCCTAGCCTATGTTTGTTAAGTTGTCTAGGAAGAACTCTCTAGTACTTTGTATTCTCTTTATATAGCCTTTGGCATATCATTTTGTATTAAGAGAGTTGCAGTAAGAAGTAATACAAGAGCTCTGCTGTAGCAACTCAGATTTCCCATAAACTTGTTAAGCATTTCCATCCCTCTACACTTCCTACATTCAGGACTATTTTAAAAAGAGCTGAACAGATTTCTTCAGAGTGTCGAATACGCTCGTAAAGGGGTCAAATTGAACAGATTTCTTCAGTTCGAGATCAGGAAATTCCTTTGTTGAGGCCTGTTGCATCTCGGGCATTGACATCACTGCAGATAACTGCGTGTCTGTCATTTGCTCACAGTCTTGTGGTGTGTCCGTGATTTTGCTTGCGTTGTATCCGAAGTTGGCCAAGTAAGATTTGTACTTCTCTATGAACTCAGGACCGGGATTAGGCGTTCTCGAGTAAATCTGTAATATTAATGCCACAGAACGATTCCCACATAATATTATGCGTCCTCAAATTGTAGAGATGCGAGTAAAAACTCGCGCAACGTCAAACAAGAGTATAAAATGTTCAAAGTAGTAAGCACGAATACTTCTATCTAACATTCCTATGAATTAAAAGGCAGTTTATGAGTAAGTACCTGTATAAAACCAGTGTCCTTTGCTCCCGAAACAAGAGCGTAATTGTCATAATCAGTTGCAATCACATCATATGGAAGCTTAGGGATAAATGGCAATGATGGAAAACGGAGGAAACACTTCTCTTTGATCATCTCCTGCTTTTCTAGATCTGTTTCTTTTTTCTCCAAATCTTCGTCCGAAAGGCATTGAACATTTCCCCGTATTCCAGTGATATATCCATCAGGGCTCCCGTGAACACAGAAGGTATTAACCTGGATGGCCCGTTTCGCCAAATCAAATGTATACACACCCTGCAATTTAATAAGGTGATTAATGGTTTTGCAGTCAGAAAATAGGTGGTGAACATGTGACTGAAAGAGCCTGTTATCTATAAGCAATGAGAAGCAAATCATCACAAGAAAGCTGATCTTGCTATGATTTCGACCACCTGCTACTTGGAAGGGCTATTGATAAACAACTAGGTAGCTCAACAACGATTGATGAGTAGGTTCAACAGTTCAGATCTGCACTCTCTTGTCCAATACAACAGAAGGGGGAGAATATATTTTCCTCTCAAATCTACACTATTTCCCGAACCAAGAGTCAAAATAAACGTCGCAGTTTTTTACAACTACACGTACCCTTTGTGTTTACCTGGGTGCAGTGGCAGTCTTCCTGACCTTGCCCAGCGAATCCACGTTTAAGCGAAGCAACTTCAAACCACCTTCCAGAATATCTAACAGGGTCAAAGTTATTTGCTGTCATGCCTCTCATCATCATTAGCCTCTCATCTCCTTCATCGGATCCCTTATCAAGCGGAAGAGTAACTGTCTCCTCCGTAGCATTTGCAAACTCATACATTTCTTTGATGGGAAACATCTGATGCAACCGCCTGCCCAAAAGCAGTAAAAGGCATCATGTATCCTCTACCTCCTGCAATGACACAAGAATACCTAAATCTTTTTCGTTTACAGCCGTAAGGCAACCTAGTTTTGGACTAAATTCCCTATTAAACTTTCAAGCACATACAAAGTCCGGCTCATTCTATTAGAAATCCTAACTTATTTAAATCGGTTATACAGAGTGAAGCACTAAAGGAAGTGACACTGAAAACTTTGTGTTCTACGAGGTCTCAAATACAACATCAAGAACACCAAGCTCAAACATCTCAGCCAGAAATGCTCTGACAATCCCGATATAGGAAAGAACTTGAACAAATGTTGATCTAAAGGGGTATAACTTCTGTCCGGTAGCATAGACAATGCCAAGCAAGGAAGTGATTGGTCCAAGACCTATGTTCTTCCAGCATCCTATAACAATACAAATGATTAAATCTGCTAACCTGGTTTATTTGCGAGATAAACACTAATGTTGTTGCAAACCCTGATAAAACATGCCTGGTTAGTTGCTTGCCGCTGGTCGATTGCTCCAGACAGCAATTCATCATGATTTTACCAGGCACTCCCCTGTAAAGCAGGAGAACAAAAATATCACTCCTTGCATCCAGCAAAGACCAAACGAAAAACAACACCCACTAGCTTGCAAAATGTGGTTAAATTTAAAACCACTATACAATTCGTATAATTTCTTATGAAATCCAAGAACATAGAGGCATATATGCATTTGCAACTATTCAAGACTTCCACTTGACCAAAGTCCTTTGCATTTTTGTTCAATTTTGTCGGCTATATAAAAGAAAAGAAAAGAAAATTCAGATTTCAGTGAATCATATTTAACACATTTTCTAATTGTCCAACTTTTTACTCGACTTAAAGAGTCAAGACATCACAATTGTCTGCAAATGCCTTCTATTTCAGTTGGTTAAGAGCATTTATTTTTACATCCAAGATTCCATTTTCGACACCCCCTCTCTGTAGATTAATGTAGATTAATGTAGATACTATACCCTTTGTTAAATAAAAAAAACACCATGATTGTCTTATGTACCCATAGACACAAAGGAAAATGTCGAGAGAGAAACCCTTGTTAAACACGTACGACAATATAATTGGGAAAAAGAGAAGATAAAATGACCGTGTTGCATTGTAAACCTAATAGAATAGGTTCTTAATAATTCTATTTAATTAGGGTATCATGATTTCACTCATGATCTATGAGACTACATTTCCACTAGAAAGCAAACTGAATGATGAATCTTCCTTGGTATTGCTATTGATGTCAGTTTCTTTAGAAGGGATTTCAGTTGTATTCGACTGTGAAGGTGTTTTGACTTGTATAAATGCCACTTTAACCGGTCCAGACTTCAGTTTTGATGCATCGGAACTTGAAGACGAGCTCGTGCCAGTTAGCAAGCAACCTTCTTCGGAAAACTTCATGCTCGGAGTCTCTCCAATGGTTGTAACATCTTCGCAACGCTCAACCAGCTGCCTGTTATCACCGTCATTGGACAGACCTGACATTAAATTGGTCTTATCCTCCTTGACCTCGACTGGACCTTTTTCAGCACTGTGGTTTGCATCTGCCGTTTCGTGAATAGTTTCATCAACTGGCACAAACCAAAGTTTAAGAAGACTCAACAGGTAAATTGTATTTCCATAATCACATTAAACTACAGGAGACCAAGGTTTAAACAAAGAACAAACTTTTCGACGAGGAGAAAACAAAACTTAGACAAAGCTACTATGAACGACTTTTATCCTTGGATATAAACCAAGTAGATAATTGTTAAACTCAGTTCAACCAAGTTCTCGAGGACTTCATGTAGACTTTTCAAACACTTAAGCGGTTGAACCTGAATGAACCTTAGGAGAAAATTAGTTACTCGTACAATAGAATTACATCATACTGGAAGATGTGTTTGGAAACATATGATGTATTCCTATCGCTCAAAGACAGATGCATAAGCACAACTTATTAAGTTTTTGTGCAGAAACATAGAAGTCCGAAAGGCATTTTTCACTTTTTATGAGCACAGTGAACAAGCATCCTTTCAAGTGTGCAGAACCTCTAACCTACCAGTGGCTAAAGACATTGTAAAAGTCAAAGAAATACTTAAAAATAACATATACACATGAGAGCTACAAATAGAAAAAACTTGATAATCTTTTGCTTCCAATTAGTACGAGTAAGGAAAAATAGCATATCCTGAAAATCCGAGAAAATCAAAGCCTCCAATGACTTCATTGTTTAAAAAATGCTCATGTCAATGACAGAAAATAATTTGCCCAGCCACTGAGTGTCTTTATCCATGTGGCAGAAACAGTATCATACAGCAACAAACATATAAAGCAGCAAAGTCGATCATGTCACATTAGAACAGTTAACAGAGCAAATGGAGGAAAGAATTAAGACAAGCAAGGGAAGCATAAAGTACAGTATGCTGTTCTCCATCACTGGATTTAATCCAGCCACAGCTGACCAATAAACTCCCTGGTCCCCAGGGACCAGATGAAAGGAACTGTTCAATAGAGAGAAAGGAAGAAAAATATCCACGAGTATCCTCACCTCCAAGGAAAGACTCAGTGCTTTGATACAGCACAGATGATGCCCCTAAAGAAAGAGCTCCATCGTGACTTCCATCTCAGTCTTATGTGTCCTCTCAATCAATTCAAACTTATCTGATTTCCACACACACTCAAGAATGATAATTTCCTCATTTATAGCGTAAAACTCCCTAAACACCTGCATCAATCATGCACAAAGATGACGGTAAAAATCATAGATCTAAAAATAATTTGATACCAGAATAAATTTCCAAATAAAAGAAGGGGTGACCTCAAGTCCTCCTTGAACTATCTTGACAAATTGCTGTTTTTGGCAGAGAGAAGAAACCATGTTGAATACTGAAACAACATCAAGTAGAATCTGCGGAAAATGGAGGAAAAGAAAAGTTCAGTAAATCAATCCAACTACAAGAGACGAACTTAAAGCATGACATGCCTTTTTTTCTTTTCTTTGTCGGAAAAAAGCTTGAAGCTTGAAATGTCCAAACTTAGTGAAATGGCACATTCCTCAGGGATATCACATTATATCGTAAACATTATTACTTCTTTGGATACCTCAATCCCATGTTTAATCACTAACCAAAAGCTGCTGCAGCATGTATATTTTCCCTTCATCATGAAACCACAAACTACCCACTTGGCTATATTACATGTTTAACAACAGGATAATGTTTTGTTGGATAACTCAGTTCCATGTTCCTTCCTCTACAGGTTTGTGGGAATCTGTGAATGGGTTCAGAACTTGAACCATCTAAATGATAAGGACATGAGCATATATGCCATAAACTAAAGACGGTTAATAAATAATCTGTTTTCCGACTTTAAAAATTTTGGGGAAAAGGCTTGGAGTAACTTCTTACTTGTTGAACCAAAACTCGAAGTCGTGCAAGCAGAGCTAACACAGTCAGAGAAAATCCCATGAAAAATGATCAAGCAAGCAACGTGGATATCTCACTGTTGAATAGTCAAGATCAACAAATTCACAAGATGCATATGCAATTTATGTTTGGTGATCCAAGGGCTAGACTACTGGATACAGAATGGCAATCAGTTTGCAAAATAACACCCTAGCAATAGTTTAAAAATTTAAAATAAACATGCTGAAGTAACAAAGAAAAAAACAAATGGTCTATGTGAAAAGATACATCACAAATCCAATACCATGCAAAAATGGTTACAGATTACTTGGGAGACTAGCTATTAAGATATTTGGACCAAGACAGCAGTTCTCAAATACTACTATGAGACTCAGATGCCTTAGACATATGGTAAATGTGATAGTCAATTGGACAGCAGTTTTCACATTAGTTCTGATCTTATATAAGTTACAAGAATGTTAGTATATGTATAACTAGTAAGCAAAGGATACATAGCCGCCTATAACTAGCAAGCAAAGGATACAAAGCCGCCTTCAACATTGTCTCAACCATCTGCAACAGAAACAAAACACAGTTAACACGTTAGAATAAAGCATGTATTTCATGTTGGACTACCTAACATGGTCCTTGTCACAAGCATAGAATCAGTTACAGGATCTAAGTATGCACAGCCGCACACAGAAAGACATATGAATAGATAGATCACTTTTCTTTCATAAACACCTAAGGATATGACACCTTCATTAACTTGTACCAGACACTTATTTGGGTGCAGCTTCACTGGCTTAGAAGAGTGCACATTATCAAGTCCATGTTATCAAGAAAACTACACATAGTTTCATAATAAGTTGTTGATATTTACTTTTTTAACAAGTAAACGTATCTTGAAACATGATTCAGGTATCTTTATAAATCAAAAGTAAACATATATAATGACGTAACCTCATGTTTGGACTTTTATAAGTTAACATGTTGTATACCCCCCATCCTCAAATCAGGTCAAGCAAAATTAAGAAGAAACTTTGAATCATTCTACAAACCCAGATTAGTGAAAGTGAAAGGTTTCTCCATTGTTTTCGTAAGAATTATACAGATATAAAGCATTATTAACCACTACTATGAAGTTTAAGGGCGGAAATTTAACAAATCATTCGATGAAAGCAAGAAAACACCTGTGATAGAAGGCGTGCAGCTCCAAGAAGTCGCTCCATAAAATTATGTTTCCCACTTTCACATTTTCTTTTCTTCAAGCTGTGACACAATGATTTGGCATGTGATTTTAATATAAACTATGTAGTCAGGCCAATGAAGGCTTTATGCCTTTCAAACACAGAGCTGAGATTTCCAATTTAGAAGAGAGAAAGAACTCACTTATCTATGATCCTGCTTCGTAACAAAAGATAAAGTTAATAAACCAAATATAAACAATATGTCATACATTTTCCTTCCTTTGGACAAAATAATTATGAATTCCATAATAAGCTTTCATGGAACTCTAATTTAAGTTCAATTATGCACTGATGAAACGTTGACTCTGCTCTACCTCCCCCCAAAAAAATGCAACATAGGATGCAAACTGAAATTTCATGTTTTACCTTTCTAATAGATGCAACTTTTGCTTAGGTCTGTTCCCAGTAATACTTTGAAAACAGCAACCAAAAAGTTCCTCCAGTTTAGTTGATTGTAAAAGCCTCAAGTCCCTCCTTACCTGACATAAACAAAAGTGAGGCAAACTACGTAAACGCATACAAAACAGCAAAGTAAAACACATAATAGATGATCAAATTTTAAAAATTCAACCCCATTAAGCTAGGCAGACTAAAACTTCACCCCCATTAATGCAATACCGAAACTTTTCTTCTTCTTCCATTAAATTTGAAGGCAATCAAACAAAAAAGTAAGAAGCTTACAACTGCAAAAACGGCTAACTTCAAAATTTGAAACCCATAAAAAAAACGTTATGCAACAAAAACCCACCATTCAAATTAGTCAGTTAAACCATTCACTGCAATCAAATCATGCTTGATACAAGTTAAAGAAAACTTAATTTTCCTTCTCTTTCATGAATTTTCTGAGGAACCAAACAAATGGGTAAAAGCATTATGATCATCAACAAGGTGGGAAAACCGTAAACCTTCATAAGGTGCTGGAAGTAGGAGCCGCGCCTGTGCTGGTTCTTGTTCTTGTATACCATTCTTTCCAGAATGGCAGCCTCTGCTTGGAGCTGACCAAGCAAAGATGCCAACTTCTCCTCCAGAGCTTCTGCGTCCGAATCCATTGAGTCACTGCAGATTATCATTGTTGGAGAAATTATGATTGAAAATATATATCAGACGTATAGGCATTTAAACAAATAGTTTGTATGCAATGGGGGCTGAATTTTTGTAGAGTGATTCTATAAGGATTTGGACCTCAATCTCTGAACACCAATTTCTCTGCATACCTTTGAAGGGAGCTCAGGCCGCCGGCCACGGTGAAGGAGATAGGTTGAAGGATTGCAGCGGCAACTTCCTCTTCTTCTTCGTTATTACTAAATTTTTGAGTTTTAACATTGAGGTAAAATAAAAGTTAAAAGTGAATATTAGAATTTGATTTTTTAACGTGAGAGTATGATTTTTTTGTTAAAATGAACAGTATCACGGTTTTTCATTAAAATTTCTTTATTATTATTATTATTCAATTTTTATTTAAATTTCTCTTAAATTGGAGTGGGTTTAAATGTATCCGGGATGGGATATTCGGTCGGGTTCTTTGGGCCCAACATCAAACATGGGTTCGAAAGCGAGCTTCTTCATTCTCTGGCCTTTTGCATAATACGCTCCACAAAATTTGGGAAGGAATTCTTTCTCAAAATCAAAACATTTTGTGGTTCATTTACGATACGTTATCTTTATGATTAAAATCATTTATATTATAATTACTATATAAAATAACAAAATATAAAATCGTCTAGTCATCAAACTGTATTAAAATAAGTGATTGGATCGATAAAAATATTACGAACTGTCCTTTTATTTGCTACAATTGATTAACTAAAGACCTTAATTTTAAAGGAAAACTAATAAAAAAAGATTGAAAAGTTTTAGTTTTAATCAAAAACCATGTTATAAGTTTTGTTTAATGTTTAGTACAAGGCACATATTAAAGTAGTCCAACTAAAAAGCGCCCAACTATAATAAATTATGATTTGTCGATTTTACCCCTAACTTTTTTAAGTTGAGTTCCAGATTTTCGTTGTTAATGGAGTTCATCGTTGTTTTGCAGACCTTCTTCTTTTTCTTTGAAACAAAAATATAGATCCTCATGCTATATTTTGTATAATTTCGTTGATATGTGATCGTCGTTATTATTCATAGTGTATTTGAGATACTGTTTTCAATTTTTCTTTATCAGTGGAGTTCATTGTTTGTTTCTCCAAAAAATAAATTTGAGATATGTATGATGTTCAATAATAACGACGGGTCACTATTTCTGAACTGTAAAAATAAACTATCTCTGGATTTTAAGTAACACTGTTTCTGGAATCTAAGTCACTGTTTCTGGAACCTAAGTTACTTTACTTCTTGAATCTAAGTCACTGTTTTCTGGATCCAAATGAAATAGACACATTGTTTCTTAAATGTAAGCTAGAAAAGAAATAGTGAAATTCACTGTATTTGGATTCAAAGCAAATTAAGCACCTTGTTTCTTAAATATAATCAACTGATGCATGAAAGAAAAGAAACAGTCAAAGGTTAAAACATAGACTGTTTCTAGAATATAAGTCACTGTTTCTGAAATTAAGTCAATGCATCTGGAATTTAAGTCACTGTTTCAAGATTTTGATTCTTTTCTTTCCAGATACAGTGTTTATTTGTACCAGAAAAAACAAACATTGTATCTGATTTTTTTTTTTCCAAAAACAGTGTTATGTTTTGGATTCTCCAGAAACTGTTTTATGTTTTTGTTCTTTTTTTTTTCAGACACTTTTTCACCAATTTCTGCCATTAAACTTCTTGGAACTTGTGTTTGGTGGCTTTGTTCCAATGAATGCTTCATTTTTCAAGTTTGATTTGGTTGTTTTCGAAATGGAGGAATTCGATTTGGTTGTTTTTGCCACACCAGCACGAGCCATGGTCACATTAATTCTCAAGCCCATAAAATCAATCCACACTTGATAGTTAATTCCATTGTTGAGCTTCAACTCATTGAAATCTTGATCAAGTCCGCCACTCCAATACCAAGTGGTGCTCGAAGCATTAGACATAAGAGAGTTGATGTCCAAACCAACATGGTTGTCATCAGGATCCTGGAACTCTTGGTTTTCGAAGACATCAAACTCGACACCGAAGATGTTGTTGTTGTGGTCGCCGTTGTTAGAGAAGTTGAAAAAACCCAAGTGAAAAGTGTTGTGAGGAGCTTGCATCGCTTAAGCCAAAGAAGGGTGAGAAGAGGATGGTTTTTTTTATTAAACTTTGAGCCCTTTTGGTTAAATAATATTTTGGGATGGTTTTTTGTTAAATATTTGTTGGCCCAAGCCCTTTTTATTAAAGCTCCCTAATTTCAATTGTTTTTTTTTTTTTTTTGTATATGTAAAATCTACAGAGTGATCTATACTATAAAAAGTTCCAATTAGGAGTGGGCACAAAAACCTTCGAACCGGAAAACTGAATCAAATTGTGATAAAGAAAACCGGTAAAAATCGGATTGACCAAAAAAATAAAAATCGGAACAAAAATCAAACAGAATTGTCTCAAACCGGTTTCGGTTACGGTTTGGAAATACTAAAATCCGAAGGACGTGTTTAATATAAATTATTGTCTGATTATTATTTTTTATATTGATAAGCCATTTTTCCAAGAAGGTCATGTGCATAAGCCTAATATTTTTCTCACTTCTCTCCCCTTCTTTGTTGTTTTATCACTTCTCTTCCCCACTTTATTTTTCTTCATTCTTTTTCATTATACTAGCCTCTTGCCACAAGCGTACGCATGTGGCAATTGGCTCTTTTGATTTTTTATTTGAAAAAACAAAAAAACAATATATTAAAAAAAAAAAAGTTAGCTATGGTAGTTGTTTTTTTTTTTTTTTTTGTGAATTTCTTATTTTATTTGAAAGTTTAATGGGAGGGCCTTCTCCCTTCATATATATATAGATTATGCATTATGTAAACTTTAGATTTAGTTTAGGATGTACACTTTGGTCTTGCTCTGAAGCTTTCTATCTTTTGATATATATTTATATGTACACTCTCTATTTTCCAGTTACAATCTGGTAGATCTAGTAGTGGGAGCTAAAATATGCTTGAATTTGTAGTTGAAATATGTGTTTGGTATTGGAAGAAGATTCGAAAAAATATATATAATTTTGGATAGAACCGTAAACCAACATGAATCGAATCTGGTAGATCTAGTAGTGGGAGCTAAAATATGCTTGAATTTGTAGTTGAAATATGTGTTTGGTATTGGAAGAAGATTCGAAAATATATATATATAATTTTGGATAGAACCGTAAACCAACATGAATCGAATCAGAAACCGTACAATTTTAGTAATATAAAATTTTGTGAAACCGCATTGAAACGAACTGTTGATATTTTCAGGTTCCAATTCCGATTTCGGGTTCGTGGAACCGGACCGAACTGTACTGTCCCACCTCTAATTTTGATCATAAGCGCAAAATTATGTGAATTAGCAAAAAGTATTTTGAGGGGGAATTCCTTTATAGTTTGTGGAGCCAAGCATTGTTCTCTTTTGATTTCTTTTCTCCTTTTTTGCGAGCAGATTCTTCTTCCTTGTTGCAAGGTAATTTCCTCTTTCTACAATCACAAGTGAATGGTATTTGTTTTTTTTATCATTCCCTACAATCACAAACACCGTTAGTTTCCACTAATCACAAGTGAAAGAGACGTCATAGTAAGAATTTTCAAATGATTTTTCTTTTCTAGAACAAGTGTTGATGTGTAGTAGTGGAAACCACTGTTATTTGGGTCCCATAAACCCAACAGGATCATTTTCGGATTTTTTTTGTGATGATCATGAGGATCTGTAAATTATGTTTGTTCATCGTACATTGTGCGGTCAGTTTTTATTAGGTACTGTTTGTATTTAATTTTAAATAAAAATATTTAAAATGATTTCTGACCGCACGATATACGATAAACAAATATGATTCATGGATTTCTGGAATCCTCACAAAGAGGATCTGGATTCCCCATAAACCAATTACTCAATTTAAAAAATTCTTTTGAAAATTCAATTTAAAGAATAAGTACCATCGTTCAGATTTAGATCCTCTCCTGAGCCCAAAAAGAGGATCCTCCTGATCAAACAGTGCGGGCAGTTGGATTTTCATCCAACGGCTATAATTAATATAACTTTAAAGGCATCCCACTATTTATAGTCGTTGAATAAAAATCAAACGGCTCACACCGCTTGATCAGCAGGATCCCCTTCTTGACGTCAAGGATTCAAACCCCCAGCGTTCAGCTCATCTTTTTCATTCTCTTGTAATGTGCCACCACGTGTGTTGATCAAGCATGGCACGGAAATTCGAGGTGTACCTAATCATTACTTCTTTTCTAGTTTTGCTTTTTCCTCTTTTTATTTTCCTCTGCTTGGTTTGGTGGTGTTAGTTCTTATCATATCCACTCCAGTTAGTTGAATACGATGTTGAATTGTAAACAACATTTGCACAATGATTTTATTCCTGAAGCTTATATTATATCTTATGTTGTCAGTAATCGTTTTAGTCCAACAGATTATCATGATTGATATAGCAACTGAAAGATCATGATTTATATTCCGAAAGTTTTATCGACCTTTCATAATTTGTTGAGCATACTTCCAACACCTCTCTCAAAATTTTAGTTGACATGGAGATGGTGTTCTGAAGTTTTGAAGTTCAAATGATAATTTGATGAATACTGCGAGTGATAATTTGCCTTGTTAGTTTAGGGATTTTTTCTTTAACTTATTGTGTCTCTGATTCAAACCATTATCATCCCCTCAGTGAACAAGTATTACTTGTAATCAATGATAACTTTATGAATTTTATATGAAAAACGGAAATTAAAAGGTACCATTTTTATTAGTAGATGTCATGCAATTTTCCATCAATGTTATTCAATTTTAGGCTTTCTACATATGCTTGACGATGTTACAACATGACACATTAACATTATTTAGCGTGTGAATTACAAGAGGGGAAAATATTACACTATAATCATCAAAGTTTACAATTCAATAATAGTGGTAATTAAGGTTATATTTAATAATTAACCTTAATAACACATAATGACAACCATCACTGAGTGGCTATGTGGTTGAGAACAAATTTCAGGCTCGTATTTCACACGGCACATCTTGAGTTGTGGTTAAAAGGAGGCTGAAATACCTCTATAAGCCTTTTTGACCCTTGAAAAGGTAGAGTGTAGTGGCAAAGTCACCATATGATCTTTTTTTTAAATGAAAAATAACACATAATGACAACAAAATTAGTGTTTATGTTGTAAACGTACTATTACACTATCGATATAGAATGCTATGTGCGAACCTAATTGCGTTACAAAATTAT